AATATTAGAATTCTGGATCTTAATGTAGATGGGCATCATGGAGAGATGTGGGAGCAATCAGCTTCCCTGACAAAGATGTGAGTTGTTTGAGAGGGCTAGTAACACAATGGTGGAAAATGACAGAATTAGGCGACTTTTTATGTGGCCGAGGGGTCCCCAGTGATGCTATTTCATTAATGGAAGAGCAGAAGGTGATTAAAACAAGAGAGCTAGTTTAGTCTTTAAAACAGATATGGCTATGGCTTGATGCTAACATGATTGTTGGCTGTCCGAATTCAGTCAGAATTCTGAGATTAATGTCAGAATTCTAATTTTTTTTCATATTATACTGAAATAAAATGTAACTTTTTAAAAACATTTTCAAAGGCGCTAATCCTCTTCCATAGTAAAAAAAAAACAATGTAAATTTTCTGTACAAACTTTGGTCCAAATACATCTATCACATTGTTGAGGTTTCTTTCAGGATGCTGATGTGTTTAACTTCCAAACGATTTTCACTCCCCTGTGAAACTTAAGTGGTGTATTCTGCTTTATATCAACTAACTGCCATAGACGAAGCAGTCATTATCATGGAAGAGATATGCTGAAAGTGTGTGGTTGCTGACTGAATGGAAGAACATATCAAGCAGATAGTATGAGATTCCCCTTGAACTGTCCTTCTGAGATGTTTATGCTTTTCAAGCCTTTATAAAACAACTAAAAATCATACTTTGTCTCCCATTTTGTTGTCTAATTATACTAGATGTCTAACATCTGTTTGTGGAGCTTTTTTTTTGCCCGCTTTTCTTTGCAGAATTGTTTAATTAAGTCACTTTCTTTCAAGCTAAGCAGCATATTTGTTTAACCATTCAAAATTAGATTGGTTTGTTTATTTCAGATCACAGTCTTGTCAAATAAAACACGTTTATTTGAGCCTCAGTTCCCAAACTGATTACGGGACATTTTCCTTAGGCTCAGATAAGGAACAAAAGTTACAGTTCCATAAAGTGTGCCAACTCATCCAGATCCCAGAGTATCAGATAACAATCACTATGGGGCTTTTGTTTTGTTTTTTGGTTTTTGCTGATATGCTGAGCTATTCATTTTTTACTGGTTGCATTTGGACCCACAGTTCCCTAAACATTCTCTCTTTTACTTTGACCACAATGTCTGATTTCAGGTTTCACCTCACATATGAGGAAAAGTAGAGGATCTTCTTTTTAATCTCAAACAAACTGTCTTGAAGATTAGTGGACCACAAGGAGGAGTCAAGGAGTAATGCAGCACATTATGTAATATGACATAATCCCACATAATGTCATGGGAAAACAGATGTATATGTACTAGTCTATTGCATAAGAAGCTGCTTGTATGTTGATTCTTGGCTAAGGTAAAGCTTAACCAGGGTGTTCTAATTATAGAACATTCAATGAAACAAGTGATAAAACAAATGATTTCACTTCATATAAATAATCCCTACCCATTTTATTAGGAACACCAGTTTACTTATATGTTAAGATTAACAACGATTTAGCCAAGGAAAATTTGGTAACCTAATTCATTTATAAAAATGAAAGTTGTGAAGAATAATAGCTCATGTTCACATTAGCACCAGAATTAGGTACAAATAGGATCACAATTCTCTTTGATTTATGTTTACATTATGCATTTAGCAGACGCTTTTATCCACAGCGACTTCCAAAGTAGACACAATATCACAGTTATCATCAATTTTGAACTTATCATTTATGTTTGTTAATAACTGATGGTCTTTCAGAAACTGTTGATTTTGTGGAATTTACAAACATAAATCTCTGGTTTAGAGGGAATGGTCTATATAATCTGAAAACATTAATGGGTCAGCAGTTGTGTTGGTAGAAATTCCTTTTATGTCCCAGAGATAAGAGTGGAAGGTTAACATTTTCGCAAACAAACACACCAAGAGGGTGTTGGAAAACTAAACAATTCCTTAACAAACACACTAGTGATTGCTGAAGCATTAGAAATACAATAAAACCCAGATAAAAACATGTAATAGAGGCTAAAAAGTATGCAATGTCAAGAAACTGGACAATAACAAAGAAAAATGTTCCTGTCAGAGTCAGGCGAGTCCTGATAGACTTTCAGATGGTTAAATGGGTCACATTTGGGCATCAACAACATGAAAATATGTTAGTATACTACCCTTTTTAACACATTGGTGGTTTGGAGAAAAATGTCTTGGCTAACGTGAGCCCCTCAGTACCATACAGGCATTACATAAATACTTGCATACCTAAATCTTGCAGATTATATTCCATTATCACAACAGTGTTCCATTCTTCTAGTGGCTATTTTCAGCAGGCACTATGTACAGTATTTCAGTTCCAGCCATGGTGCTCAGGGAACCCTACCTTGCATGTTTGCCTATGTCTCTATTCCAGCACACCTGACTCAAATTAGGTCTCCTCTGCAATCAAGTGCTATAGAAGCCTGTTAATCATCCATTCTTTTCTGGTGTGATGCAAGAAAGTGACACCTTAAACAAGCAGGATAATACATTTATAGTATCCCAATAGTCTCTTCAGTTGCCAGTTATAAGTCCGACAGCACACCTTTGGGATATGGTGGTACAATACATTCCAATCACAAATCTGCAGCAAATTACACCATGTAGCAATGTCGAATATAACCAAAATCTGACAATGCTACATGGTGAGGTGTCTTGCCCATTGGTTCAATGAAATTGAAAACCCTAGTCAGGGCTTGAACTGACAACCCTTCAGTTGTATGGAAAACTCATGTTTGCCTCATGATTACCTAAAAATAAACAAAGTTCACTAGAATATGCTTAAACTTTTTCAGGTGTTGCTGTTTACACACTCATCATTCTACCTCGAATTTTGGTCATGATACAAGCAGCTGAAATTAATTTTCCTCATAGTGTGTCTGGGCTCTCCCTTAGAGATAGGGTGAGGAGCTCAATCATCCGGGGAGGACTCAGAGTAAAGCCGCTGCTCCTCCACATCGAGAGGAGCCAGTTGAGGTGGCTCGGGCATCTGATTAGGATGCGTCCTGGACGTCTCCCTGGTGAGGTGTTCCCGGCAGGTCCCACCGGGAGGAGGCCCAGGGGGAGACCCAGGACACACTGGAGGGACAATGTATCTCAGCTGGCCTGGGAACGCCTTGGGATTCCCCCAGAGGAGCTAGCCCAAGTGTCTGGGGAGAGGGACCTCTGGTGTCCCAGTCTTGGTTCTGTTATGTTTTCTTTTAAGTACTTTGCTCCATATTTTCTGGTTTTAGTGGTTTAATTCCTTATTTTGTTGTGTTTATTTTTCAGGTTTTCATTTGTTGCCCTCTGCTGCCCTCTTATGTCCTGTTTTTTCCCTAGCTCCTTTCCTGTCTGCTATGTTCACACCTGCTCCCAATCTGCGCGTTAGTCCTCTCTTTGCTCTGTCTCCCATAAATACACTCTTTGTGCAGTTCCTCAGTGCTGGTTCCTCGTCTAACTTCCTCCAACTCCGTCTCTGTGAGTCTTCCTCGTCATGATTGTTTGTCCCCTGATGTCTCCATGGTTGCTGGTTTGTTTAACTTTTTTCTTGTTGGATACAAAAACTCACCTCTGCCTCCCTACCTCTGCATTTGGGTCCACAAACCTCAACCCAGTCCTGACATCTGGGCCTCCCTACTGAAGCTACTACCCCCGGGACCTGACCCCGGATAAGCGGAAGAAGATGGATGGATGGAAATATTTTTTACTACAATAAATACTCAGAGATAACACCTTGGTAGAGCACCAGGTTGTATTTATAGATGTTTTTCTTGAATATTTAGGGCTGGTGAGAGAACATTGAAAGGACACAAGGGGCTCTTTAAACATAGACTGTTAACCAGCATTTATGCCTTCAGATTAGTTGAGGTGAATGCGTGAAAAAATGGGCAATACTTTTGAACAAGTTATGTTTATCTATTTGGTTACACAGCAGTTTAATTCTACCTCATACTAGACCATTTGGAAAATCACTACCATAAGTGTGTGAAAGGAAAACTAACCCTTGACAATGTTGACTTAAGAGTAAATTTTTTTACCACCCATTTTATAATATACATTACATCTGTAATACCTTATTTTCTTAAAATGAGATCCTGAATGGTTAGAAAATCTGGAAAAAGTCAACAACTTAAAAAAAAAAAATATATATATATATATATATATATATATGTGAGGAAATCTGTCGTGATCAAGGGACGTCTTCAGTGCACATTGTTGAATTTTGGACCATGTAAGATAGAGCCTGTTCTCTTTCAGCTTGAGGAGCACATTCATTGTTTATCTAGCCTGCTAAGAGTCTTCAAGTCAGACAGACTCCATTCACTGCTGGAGGAAGCACCAAACAGGTTGTTAGCTTGTCATTGTTTATCATGTCAATTTGCATCAGAATATTCAATGACTAGATAAAAAGAACATCTCAGAGTTGATATGATTAAAGCTTTTGATTACCATCTGACTGCACTGAGATGGGGAGAGTGGTTCTTTCATGGATTTTCCTGAATTAATTAATTAATAACTTTATGTTAAAAAATCCAGTAAGATTGCACATTTAACACATACAAAATACATGTATAAATAAGGTTATATACATTATTACAATATATAAGAGTTAGTGCTTATGTCTGACAATGGGCATAGAGAAAAAAGACCTTAAAAATCTTCTCGACTGCTAATTGACACTTTTTACACTTCTTAGAAGTCCCAGAAGAGCACAAATAAATCAATTTATGTACACATCAGCATGCATATAGACAATAACATGTGCCTCCACACATCTTCATTCATACAGTTATTAGCTGTAATTGTTTCTGTCTCTTCCTGCCTTTAAAGCTGAGATCAGCACCATGAATTTTCTCCCTGATCCCTCTGCTGCACTGCTACAATTACTGTATGGCAGCTTTAACAACCAGGACTTGCTGCATGTAACATGAGCATTATATATTTCTGTCTCTCCCGGTGGGTAACTGGCAGATTCTTGAAAGCCATTTGTGTGAGTTGAACAGCCAGCAAATTTCTGCTTTTCTCCAGTCTGCCCCTTTTGGATACTCCTATTGACTTTTCATCTCTGGACATTAACCCCCTGCCTGTCCTCTGGACAAAGTCTGTTTGCCTTTGCCACTGTCTGGATTGTTCTGTCAATTGTTTATGTTCCAAGTCCAAAGCTCAGATCTGTGTCCTGCTTCTCTGAGAACCTCTGCCTGGTCAGTGTGCCTCCTGTTACCTAGTCTCCCGCCTGGATTCCAGATTTCCCTCTTGTCTAGCCTCTCTGGAAACAACTTTACTTTGCATGACCCCTGGTTGACACCATGTCCCCGGCCAGCCTTAGCCCTGTCTAGAACCGGCAAGATCTGGACCAGTCCATCCGTGATCTGAATCATCTAAGCAGAGTCACTGGGATCAATCAGTAGAGCCAGTCCAAACTCCCAACTTCTGAGATTAGTGGCTTTTATTCAGAGCACATTCAACACCTCTGAGTTGTTGGCCACTAACCCTGTTCTCCACAGTTATTCCAGTTCCAGTCAGTTCCTTCAACACCAGTTTATTTTTAAACTGGTGTTGAAGGAACTGTCATTCCATACTTTAGTTCTCTATAAAGGATCTTTATAAAAAAAAATAGGAATGTTTAGTAAGCTTGATCTGAGTATTTAGTCCTGATTGCGACGATTGATCTTCTCTTAATGCAATCATTGACTCCTCTGTTCTTCTTTTTTACTTGTGTCTTTCTTACCTGATATCCTGTAACAGTTATCGTTAACCAAACACCATTAGAAGGTATAAGATATGATTCATTAATAATCCATGTAATGTGTTGCTCTCTATCTGTTAATATGAGGGTGGAGGTTGGTTGGGGACCCAAATGCAGAGATGATTGAAGAAGAGATGAGTTCTTATAGGTTTAATGCAGTCAAAGGGCAACAGAAACAAAATCCAAGAATCAACAAAAAAAAATCAGGAAATGTCAGGAGAAAACACAAGGAAGCAGCACTGAAGAACTGCACAGGGAGAGTATATATGGGAGACAGAATAAAGACGGGTAATCAGCCGATATGAAGCAATGATCAACAAAACACAATTAGTTAGATAACTAAAAACTCAAAGTCCAGAGAACCATAACATTATCAGACTTGCAAGTATGTTATCAATTAATGTAGCATTGGGAATCTTTTTTTTTATTTTGAAGCTTGGTTGAAAAGCAATGTCTGACTTTCATTTGGTAATTTTCATAGACTTTGTATTTCTTTGTAATTTTGTCAGATTTAAGATATTTCAGTGACAATTGTTGGTACCCCTCATTTTTCATTAAATGAGGGGTACCAACAGTCTTCTCCATGTGTGTATATAATACACCAACATAAAGTAATGCATGATTGTGAAGTCAAAGTAATTTTATACACGGTTTTCAGTGCACTTCATTATAATTAACTCATCTTAGTTGAACATTTTTACTCAGTCCCTTTTGATCATATGCTCTGAATTTAAAATGGTTTCAAAACTCCCTTCAGGTATCAGCTGAAAACTAGTCCACCTGTGACTGATTTTGTTGGGATCTGGAGCTGTACCACCTTTCTCCAGCAGAGTGCGCCGTGGATCCTCCTGAGCTGAGCCTCCAACACACCTGAGGTTTGTGTTGTGATTAGAGGATCCTCCTGTATATAACCTGCCTTCAGACCTTGCCTTAACGCCGCAGTGTTGATCCAGTTTGGTTAGCACCTGAGCCTAGCTATCACCTGAGAATCTTAGTTATCTCTGTTGAGATAAGATTCTAACACCTCCTTGTCTCTGCTTTCAGGAATCCTGTTTCCCTTGGAAGCTCTGGATGAGCTTAACCTGCCGAGCCTGCCCTCTGAGCCAAACCTGAAGACTCTTCTCTGGATTCCCCTGCAGCTCTTGGCTAAGAGCTGGAAACTCATACCAAGGTATGCCCTCAAGTCAGAAGTAAGACGCTGAAGCGGTTATTGGACTCTGCTATTCCTAAACAGTCTCTGGACCCAACAGTTCCTCTCTCAAAGTTAGATCCGGACTCATCAAGGTATTCTTCAGAAACTCTCAAACTCAAACTCTTCAGTCCCAGAGCTAACTAAACTGTCATCTTTACAGACTCCAGTGAACCTGCCTCCTGACCTGAACCAGTCCCAGTGTTATATTTCAGGTGCTTGTGCTTCAATAAACTCTGTTAAACTTTTCATCAGACTCCGTTGTGTTCTGCATATTGGGCTTTTTCTGAACCCATCATGACAGATTTAACCGTAATACAAATTCAGATGCTCTGCTAAAGCCTTGTAAGAGAACTTAAATGAACAACAAGCTTCACAAAGACCATAAAAAAACAACACAAACAGATGAGTTTGTGGTTATTGTCTTATAGCCTATAATATAAGTGTAGATCAATGGCTGCATCAATATGATCGGACTGATTTTATAAGTATATATGCGTCGGTATTTGATCTGTTTTTCTTAAATAAACTTTTGTAATTCCGCTCTTTCTTTAGGATGTTTCCTTCTGATACGTATACATTGTTTTGGCATTCGAAACATACGTGTACATGAGTGAGTTTGAAACAGATTTAACAGAATAAAAAAAAAGGCTTGGTTTATTTTTGTTAAGATATATAACAGAAAGAGCTTGACATTAGTGGCAAAAAAAGTTGTCAGTCACAGTGCTGCATTTAAGCCGTTCAAGGCATGATCAACAGTCTTAATGACAAGGTCCATACATACAGTACATGCTGTGTTCACAAAATGATTGACAGATTTGCAAAGAGAAAGGCATTACTCAAAAGCATTGAGTCAACCTGATTTTTTAAAATGCAAACAGACAGGCAGGCCACAGTGGTAAACACATGCCTAAACAGGGCACTACATGTTTAAAGGTATAGTGGAGAATTTTTGCAAATCTTTGAAAAGACCTGCCCCCTCCATTAAAAAAAAAAAATATGCACATGCAAAACCCTGTACCCGCTCCCGAGAGGGAACGCCTATTAAACACGTGTGAGAGCATGCACGACCCATTTACTCCTCGTGCACGCTCTGTTTGGAAGTTGCTATTTGCATCGCTCATACAGCTTACTTTCTAAAAGAAGATTAGCAATTTTTCTACTGTGTCAGACTTACCACCGGTATAGGCCCTGTCACACCTTGACGATTCAGACAGCATCTGCCTGAAGTACAAAAAATCTGGCAAAAACTCTTGCATACGTTGGATAAGTCATGGGTCAGTTTTGTATAAGCCATGAGCATGGTGAAATATGCTGAAGGACGCTGGCACACGTCGACATATGGCAAGTACGTCCATTTATGCCAGCATATGCTCATACATGGGCCCTACTTACAGGTAAGTTTTTTGATCATTAACATACGTTTAGTGTAAGTCACTCATAAGTTGGGGTTTCTAGCTTATCCAAAATCTATGAGTAACTTATGCATAACTTATGCTTATCAAGAACGTATCTCCAACACATATAAACATATTTGACGTGTTCCAGAGGACCGCTAAACGTGTTTCCAACGTACAGCTACCGTATAATTGTGTATAGGCAGTGTTGTGGTATTAAAGGGGGTTCACAGGAGGGAACCGCCAGCTCTCCCTCAGACTTCATCCCCATCATATGGTGAGGGAGAAGGTGAGTATGATGGATCCTCCCTGCGTTCAAGGCCACGGCCAACAAACTACCTAGCAGACATAACACTGAATCTGCTGCGGCTTCAAACCTTCTTTCATTTTTGTTATTTAAAGAACACACTTTTGAATATTTTTTAATAAACAAGGCATTTTTTGTGATGAAAAGAGGTATGTTATTCTGTACAGAACACTGTTGGTCTTCAATAAAGGTAATCCACCTATTGCAGTGAGAACAGATCTTCAGGTAAGAAGACATGTATTTAAACTTAAGAGAATCCTAATAAAGCTGACTGATTTCTGTTCTTCTACTAAACTCTTCACTGAATAATGATGATGAGGCTCAGACACAAAACAAGCATCAATGATGGTGCACTAGCTCTAAAACTGACATACTGTATATAAATGCATATATCAATGACTTTATCAGTGGCTTATTTTGTTCTTTGTAACTATAAGATTATGTTGTGAATAATATGGCTTTTGTTGGCACTGACCCATTTAATCATATGTATATGAGGTATCAATGTAATAGCTGAGACATAATAAAAGAGTTCAATGACAATCGTATATCTGAGGTAAAAGACAAAAAAGACAAAGAAAACTGATTCGAGAGCAAATTCAAATCCAGTCTTACCTTTGGGTTATAGAATATCATTATAAAATGGTGAAAAGAAACCAAGGAACCGTGTAATAATGTAAACCTTACTATAAACAGATGGTGAAGGAAAAAAAAAAATTAAATTTAAGGCATATAAGGGAGATTTGAGTTGAATGAAAACCAAGTTTTTTTTTTCTGTCTACAGGATGACACAGCAGCAGGTTTCTGGGTAATCTTCGGCACTGACTTTCCTCTCATTTCCATAGACATAGAAGACGTGAATGTTATCTTTCCACTTGTAGTTCACCTTAGTGACAGGGACCAACTCGACCGTAAGCCTCTGAAAGACACAAATATTAGGTTTGTTTGCTGCAGAAAGCGGAAATGCCTTACTCAATTTTTAAGGACAAATTTAGATCAGCGCCTAGGGCTAAAATTGTCCCTACATTGCCCTGCCTTTGCAAGTCAAGTAAAAAAAATCCAACCTGCTGCAGGATCCGGGTGGTCTGCTCAAACTTGGATTGATGCTCTTTGATCAGACGGTCGGAGGCTTCAGCGATGGCTGGGTTTGGGAACCCATACAGCGGGTAGACCTGTGAGGAAAAACACAAAGCGGAACACTTTCACATCATTATTCAACCGACTACCTTTCCTCAGTGATTTCAACTTGATGATATTTACTTGACACAAGCGAAGAAAGACAATTCGTCATATATTCTAAAGTAGTTTGTTATTTAAACAATTATCATAACACAATTTAACTGAAGTAGATAGTAATTGCATTTGACAATGTAAGTGTGTGTTTATGTGTGAGAATACCCTGTTCTGGCTGGTCGTGAACAACTCCTTCCCATTCACAGATTCAATCTTATTACTGTTAAGGCCACAGTTTTGCTCCTCCACGTGGATGTCCTTATTGTTAGTCCTAAACCAAAGCATGCAAATTAAAAGGCAAATCCAACTCACGAGACAGGCGGATTGGGTATAGGCTTCACATAAGCTAAACACAAATATAGTACATCCAGAAGTGTGTAATATAAAAAATATAAAACTATTTTGGTAATAGATGAAAGCAAGATGGAAGGAAAAGCTTTAGCTCTTCAAAGGATTTAAAGATCAAATCACAGATGGGGTGGAAACTTTTTATGGCTTCTTCTAACCAGCTCATGTGGTGCTGAAGTTCCCGACAGGCATATCTGAAGCAGTTCTATAAACTAAAGGAAGCTGGGTATTTGATCTCATTAAACCCATCTGAGGTGGACCCAAACACCTCAGAATGTCTGTACATTCAATTAGAAACTAGTATCAAAAGCATTCTTTAGGTTGTCCTTTTAGGTTGTCCTTTTGCTGTCCCTTTAAGAGGATTGCCAATTATTTGGCTGTTAGAAAAGTTATTAAAATACTAAGGTTAAATTTTATCCCCTCATAGAAGACTTAGGCCTCCTTCCTCCCATGATCTATTGGGTTACAGCTAATTCAATTTTATAGTGATAAAACATGTTTGAAGCTTTTTGGTGATTATGCAGAAACACAAGTTGTCATGCAAATCCTTTCCTCAATGAACCGTGTTTGTTGATGCAAACTTACCACTTCACTGTTAGTTTTATAAAGGTCAACAGTTGTTTTTTCCCATTGCAGGTTTTGCACTTTTTTTTCCCCTCAGCGTTGCACTTGGAACAACTTAAAATAAAAATAAAAACTCAGTCAGAGGTGAGACAAACTATTGAGGATTTTTAAGATCACATTTTTTTCCACACACGAGGAACGAGACAAAAAAAGGCATCAAATCCTTTGCTGAAATTAGTAATTTATCTCTAATTCTTTTTTCTAATTTCTCTTTTAAATATGTCCAATATCTATTATATGAAGAGTTAAATCACTGGAAGAAAGAGCTTTTTTTAGTTCTACCCTTAATGCCATCATGATCGTTCAACGTGGCAGGAATTGGAATTAGATCCAACTAATTTATTTGAAGGGAGATTTCCAGAATCTAATTATTGATCAATTCTTCTTTTTATAAGAGAAGCAACAGACCAACTGTAACCTTTAACTGCACAGTGTAGATGTATAACACCAACACACTGCAAACAACAATATTCATACTAACACCCGAGACCAAATTAGGATTTCAGAGTTGTTTTTAAACCAATCTACAAAAATGTACTTGTTAATTTTTGGTAATTTGGATCAGTGCATCACAAATTAAACTAAACTAACTAAAACTAATAACTAAACTAAACTAATAATTAAATTTTTTTCTTCATTATTCCATTCAACATAGGGAAAATAGGAAATTTTTGCTTCAATATGATGCTAATCACAGCTGGAAATGTTCATGATAGACATGTTATTCTTTGTCATCGCTGAAGGTCGGCAGCTCGTTCCTCTGTTTTAAGACTGAATCAATTTGTGACATCAGCAACAAACTAGATCACTTTGGTTAGATAAATTACATATTTACACCCACTGCATATCTTTATTATCAGACAGTCCAGCTTATGATTTAAACTACCTGTCCTTTCCTGTTCCATCACAGCTCAAACATCGTTGGTTGTCATTATTTCCAGAGCCATTGCAGATCCTGCATGGTTTCTAAAGACAAAATACATCTATGAGAAGTAATCTGAATGCATTTCAAATAAATATCTAGTGAAATAGAATAGATTTTATAAGCAAAAAATGTTATTATTAATATATTTAAACCTTTAATGTTTTCTTACATATCCATTTCCATTGCAGTCTTCGCAGGGAATTTTCCCCTCCCCACGGCAGGGGTTACATTCCTACACAGAAACAGGAGTTAAAAGCAGCATTGCAGTCTTTTTAAAGCACAGACTCTCTGAATGCAAGTCATAAATTAAGGCTTTGAACTAAAATAAGTGGCTCTCTCATT